TGATGAAAAATGACACAAACAAAAGAAATAAGTTAGTGTACACAAACAAAAGAAAAAAAATTAATTAGTACATGTTAGATAATCGATACAGATAAAAATGTTATTCAAAGATGAATAAAACACCTACCCCGTCATGATATCTACCCGAACATGCTTTAATTAAATAGTAATCCTACCCAGATAATTAATTGCAAGAAAATAATCCTAACCACATGGTATCTAGTTCGCATACTTTTATTCGAAAAGAAAAATATATTCTACGAATTTAAAGAAAAAGAAAAGAGTTTATAAACGTTCCTCCTTTTTGTACACTTAATTTGGGTACCTAATAACGGACAGAGGTTTGATATAGCTATACCTAGGGTGACCGTTCTACGGTTCACTATATGCATGGTTTTGGCTCTATTGAGAAAAATAGTACTTGAATTGTCCTTGATATTAGTGCCCCCTTGGGCTGCCAAACCCTCGATCCTCACCCATTACAGGTTTCGAATGGAACGAGTTCAATTCGAGGGGATTCACTACCTTATACCCATATGAGGAATAAATCCCTATGAAGGTATAAAGTATGTATCACGTGGATTATTTGCTAAAACTCATACGAAGAATAAATTCTTACGATATTAAAGCATTCACCCCGAATAATTTGGATCAAAGCTCGGGTCTAGAGCTCATGTCATGCAAATGCATGTGATGTGTGTGAAGAGGAATATTCAAACCTTTGACTCAAGAGGAAAACAAAACAACTCAGCAAAAACTTGAACTGAGCTGAAAGCAAATATAAAAATGTTAGTAAGACAATAATAAAATGAAGCAATTAAAAACTTCAATAAAAGGATCATAAGTTAACTAAAGACTCAAACTCATAATTTGCACCAAACGACAATATATAAGCGACTTACAGCCTGACTCTAAAAAACATTCCCCAGCGGAGTCGCCAAGTTGTCATAACCATTTTTTAGGTGGAATAATTATTTATTGTTTTAAAAACGATTACAACTTTTAATTTGGAAAATTCAGTGATTTTGGATTAATTGGAATTAAATTGAAAATGAGTCCCCATCGACCTTTGGGTTAGGTAGGTTGAATACCTAAAAATGTCTTTTAAAACAACTTTAAGAAAATTTATTTTTTAAGACAAAATTTGGTCTGTGTTTACCAAAAATTCGATTGAAACGGGTTCGAGAGTCGTTTACGCGTGGGGAAGGGTTAGTACCCCATAGCGCCCAAAATTGGCACTGTGTCACTTATACGTTGTCGTAATGGTGGAAATCCTGAATCAAATATCAAGTTAAAAAGATGATCCATTTATTGAATATTAATTAATTTGCTTCAAATGAATTAATTAAATAAAATCCTTTAACATGATAAGAAATATTGAAAACGTGAACGTAAAGAATTAAAATAACAAAAACATGAATTCAAAAGACTTAAAATAGCAAAAACATAAAATTAAATGACTAAAATAGCAATAACATAAAATTAAAGGGCTAAATCACAAATATATAAAAAAGTAGAGCTAACACCAAAATAATAAATATTATAGGCACTAGATATGAAAATAACCCAAAACTTATATACAGGACTAAAATAAAATAACCATAAACATAAATGAGCAAATACTAATTAAACCCAACACAAGGGAGTGACTAAAATAAAATAATTACACATATGGTGACCAAAGTCAAATATAAACAAAAATGGTATAATAAGTAAACTGGTGACTAAGATATGAATGTGGAAAGATAGAGGCTAAAAACGAAATAATGTAAACTTCATTCTAATGCCCGAATCTTGAGACTACAAAGGACCAAGGGCCTACATGGCTATTTGATCCTAAAACCGGTGACTAGAATAGAAATAAGTGGCAAAATTAAAGGGGGTTAATAAGTAATTAACCCTAAACCTAATATATAACCTAAAAATTAAACTAAACCCCCTCCCCCCATCGAATCTCATTCTCTCCTTGCTTTCTACTTGCGGCAGAGAAAGTGAAGCTCTCACAAACAACACTGGCCACCACGTGTTGGTGGCCATTTACCACTCCAAACGCTACTAGCCACCACCGAGGAGGCTCCACTGTCCCTAGATAAAATGAAAAGCTTCGATTTTTTCTCTACCCCAAAACTTAAACGACTCAGATACTAAAGGCAACACCCCTTTCGAGCTTCTATCCTCAACCGAGGGCCAAACCTTCCCAAAACCGACCACCTACACATCTCTCAGGTAAACAAATCTTTGATTCTCTTATTCTCTAATTTTTTTTTTGTTCGAATATGCTAGAAAACATAAAAAAATACCTTAGAAATATGATATTTTTCTTGTATTGATTTCTTGAGAAACAATGGGGAGAAAATTCCCTACAATCTGTTTTTAGTTTGAATCGAAGGCCTCTCTTACATTTTTTTAGAATTGGAGCCCCCTTGTTCGAATGCTTCCTCTCTTATTTTATGGTTGATTTTTTAGTGGACGATTAGGTGGAGTGAAATCAAATTCAGATTTTTCGGTATTTGTTTCATTATTTTATTTTAGTGGATGATTTGGTGCTGATTTTTGATGATTTGATTGAAGTTGACGTAGGCAATGACGATCGGAGGCTTGGAGGCATGAAGGCTCGGCGGTGAAGAAGCGTTCGGCAGTGCTAAGGTGTTCGGCGGTGCTGAGGTGTTTGGCGGTGTTGGAAACCATTTAGGGTTAAAACCCTAGTTGAATGGGTCATCTCTTGGATCGGTTCGGGTCTCATTCAGGTCGGGTTTGGATCGGGTCCTCTTCCGGGTCGAATCTGGTGATGGGTTGCTGATCTGGGTCTTGTAAATTTGGGCTCCAGGATTTTTATTTTTGGCCTTGTAATTGGGTCACTGGTATTGGGCTTTGGTATTTGACTGATAGGCCTACAAGCAAAATTTGTAATAATATTAAATTAATAATAATAATAATAATATTAATATTAATTAATAATATTTTTTTGACCCGGACAAAAACAGATGTCTACAGTCCTTATGGAGTATGAAATTTAATTCATCATTCAATAGTCATAAAATACTTATGTATAAATTGTGCTATCTTTATAGTATTATGTCTCACTAAGTAAATACTTAACGTGTGTTATTTTCACACGTAGCTAAAAGTGGAGACAAATTAAATAAGGAGTGCAGTAGTAGCAGTAGATATCATATGTTAAGGTTGACTCTCATTAGTAACGGTATGACAATCATGTTTATTTTGAACAATTGTTGGCATGTAATCAAATTTTAAAGGAAAAATGATTTGTAATGTATATAAAGTAGACATTTTGGTAGTATATTTCGATGATTGTTTTATCATTGTGCTAAAATGTTTTAATTTAAATTTTGAAACAAACTTTTAAGGGTTTTCAAAAGACAAACTGTTTTAAAAGTGATGTAACCTCTGTATCTCATGTACGGAAAAGTATATGGGATATGGGTGCTACATAATTCTTCAGCAGCCAGTCCACATCTTTTTTACCGTGTCGATCAGTGTTATGTAACTCGTAGAGATTTTAAGGTACTTCCGGAATTGATTATACAAAACCAAATTGCCGGAACACGCGATCAGTGGGGTGCCATACGATAATCGCATAATAGATTAGAGGGATCACCGTCATCCAAACATCTAATGGGCCCCTTAAGTCGTGTGGGATGTAAATCCTCATATCATCAGTACAATAAGGAGCCCATTCAAACTAAAACAAATATATATAATTCTTATCAAAATAATAATCTAATTATATAACGATAATACAAAAATAGATTTTCAAACATTTAAATACATACCTCTGTGTCAGCCTTCTGATCAATTAGTAGCCTAATTGATTCTAATTCATCAGGTATATCCCAATGATCTTTCCTTGCAGTAGACCACCTATTCAAGGAAATAATTTTTATTATTTACTAGATAAAATGATTAATATACGAAATCATTATTGTAATTACCTCAATAATAGTGGGAATACGAACGAGTTATTCACAACCTGACATAAAAAGGGCATGTGATACCACGCCAAATACTGCAACATAATGAGACATCCGTCGATAACATTTTTCCTATAGTCTGTAGCTCGACACATTTCCCTATACGGGAATTCTAAATCTACCGAGCCCCAACTCAGTGTTCCAGCCAGATAAAAATTGGCGAGATGCCACAATCACATACAGTAAACTTGGTTGCGCGATTTTTTTTGGCATTAGGAGCCCTCCTATCAGATGTAGTATGCATGCCCGTGCATACATTTTTACCTGCTCCTCTTAGGCGTCGTCACTCAAATGCTTGAAATTTACATCCAACTAATTTAACGGAATCCGACCACCGTTAAAATTTGGCAGGACACCTCCTAGATATTCCTGGCACAATGAATTCCAGTTACCATGTGCCACCCCTAAAAGCACGTCTCCATCTACCGAAAGGCCCAAGTGCATGGAAACATCCTCCAGTGTAATCGTGCACTCTCCGCACGGAAGATGAAATGTGTGTGTCTCAGGTCTCCACCGCTCGACTAATGCATAAATCAGATTGGATTCTACGTTACAGTGGCTTTCATATCTAACTACGTAACTAAATCTAGCTTCGACTAAATACAGCCAGACACATGTTGATATCTCTAACTTAAGATTGTGGATAGAAGGATCTAATATACGGTCTCTCCTAATTTAATAAATATTACAGAAATTAATATATAAACTATTAATAAAAAAATAAAAAATTTATTACTAATAATTAAAATTAAAATAGAATTTAAAAATGTTATTGTATCATCAAAATGCCTCGAGACATGATTTTCATCCAAACGAAGCAGAACGTCTTTCATTTTATAACTGCAAAATAAAATATAAAATAATTTAATAAAATACTAAAATATTAATTTATTAGAATATAGTATAATATATTACCTTCTAAATAAAATTTGACCTGATTTTAGCTATAAGGGAGTTTGGTTTTTGATATGGTTTGAGAGAATTTGATAGATTTTAAGAGGATTTAGTATGGTGGAAATGATAGAGAGGGAGGTAGGGATAGACTTTGGGCGGATGGGTATTTACAGTGTCCTCTAGATTTGAAATCCATTGTTGGGTTTTCTGAAAGTTTGTTGCTCAGAATCCTTTGAATTAGAAGAAAAACTTCTGGTTGATGCATCTTGTTTAGTCTCTCCTAATCTACAAATCAGGGATGGACTGAGCGAGCGGACATACTATTGAACCCATGAAAATTTCAAACTCAGATTTTTCTTTATATTTTCTATTAATAATATGTTTCCCCAAAGTTTTATAAATTCTCCTTCTAAAATTTTATAAAGTTTGCTCCTAATATAAAGTCATGTTCGTCTCGACCAACAATTGGTTGCAATGTACTATTTCGTATAGATTTGATTTCCTAGTTACATTGATGGGAGCATTTCTTTGTTTTCTGGAGTTGTATCGTATTCAATCCATATCTGTTTATGGTTTATGGGAATATATCTAAGAACTGTCGAAATTACATGAAAAAACATGGAAAAAGATTGAACGTATCCGTGTATAACATATATGCACACATAATCGTATTCGACACTTCCACCCAAGTCCGAGTAACATAGATATCTTTGGCTATCGAATCATTGTTAGCAGGTGCCGATGGAAGTTCCAAGCAAAGCAGGAGTGAGAAGAATAGGAAAGCGATGTTAAATTTGGGAATGAAGCCTGTTACTGGTGTAAGCAGGGTAACTATAAAGAGAGCAAAAAATGTATGAATTCTCTAGTTCTCTTTTCAATCTTGTTGAACTACCTGATGAATGGTGAAGAATTAACCTAGTTTCTCTTGGATTTAGATCCTGTTTTTCATCTCGAAACCCGATGTTTTCAAGAGTCCTAACTCGGAGACTTACGTTATCTTTGGTGAGGCTAAGATAGACGATTTGGGCTCGCAGATACAGACACGAGCTGCTCAGAAATTCAAGATGCCTGACATGTCATCTGTGATGGCAAAACCCGACACCTCTGCTTCAACTGCTGGTGCACCCGCCGATGAGGAAGAGGAAGAGGAAGAAATTGATGAGACTGGGGTTGAGCATAGGGGCATTGAGTTGGTCATGACACAGGCCGGGGTGTCGAGAAGCAAGGCCGTCAAGGCTCTCAAGACACAGGACGGGGACATTCTTAGCGCTATCATGGAGCTCACCACTTGGTTGAACTCCATGTTTTTCTTATCTTCCGCTATTGCTTTCGGTCAATGAATTTCGACTAGTTCTGGTAATTATCAACGATTGAAGAAAATTTTGACAGCATTCATATGCAAAATAGCAATGCCTTTCGTTCTCTTGAAATAAATCAATGGTTTTAATAGGTCTATATCAAGAGATAAAAGCAGTTGATTTTAATGCAAAACAAGCTTTAATGGGTCAATATGCACAAATCGGAGATAGAAGCAGTTATATATGTGCTCTTGTATATTAACTAAATAGATACGTAAATAAATTTTATTACTCAAAATCACTGCCGCAGTTTCTAATAAAAGTGAGCCTCAAATTGATTTATCTTTATATTTTGGCGTTGTTGCATTCATCATTGTATTGTGGACTATATTGTGAATTTGTGATTATTGATAAGAGATCATTGTCTTTTGTTTTTAAACACAGAAATTTCCACTTCAGGGAGACAATTCGAATATGTGCGAGCCTACTTTCGGTGAAATCGACAACAAAGTCTTCTCGCCAATGAACTCGTATATTTTTAATGATCCCCCACTCTGCATGGATTCTCCATATGCAAATGATTTCGGTCACGATCAAAACGGATATCAGTTCCAGGATGTGAACAAGATTTATCTTTCTCATTGTTGGATGCAGTCCTCAATAACCATGATGACCTCTGTACTGAATTGAATGGTCAGGAGAGCTCGTTTCCTGGAACTGGGATGCCCTTGTCTGATGGTTTATTCATCTCACCCGAAACCTGATAGGGAAGCGGTGGCGGATTGATGAACGTTGCTCTTGTTGAAGAATCAAACCTAGAAAGCTCTAGACTCGATGAAGAACAAAGGGGATGAATAGGGAAAGGTGGCGGCAGCAGCTAGGATTCTTTAGGGTTTCTTTTATGTGCTGGAATCAAGGCAATAAGATTAGAATAAAATAAACAAAAGATAAATAAACGGAAGATGAAATAAGATAATAAAGAAATCAGAAGATCTCCCTTATGAAGGTGAACGGTAAAGATGATTGATGGTGCGAATGGATTTGTGGATAATAGATGGATAAGTGTCCTATCGAGCCCTCCTAGTCGCAATGAAAAGGAAAACACGATAAATGGCTCTAACCAACCCTCTTAGTCGTGATGAAAAGGCAAATTGGAGTGTGAAGATTAATCTCCCTCACAAGAACTTGAAAGAACTCCAGGAGAAGAAGCTTCGAAGGCACAAGGCAATCAGTACTTGCAAAAACAAACTCTCGTTGTATTATTGATCAAAGAAATCTGATTTACAAAGTTGAATGAAACCTCCTTTATATAGGGGCTGAATTCTAAAGGTCCTAAATAACTAAAGAATAAAATATTAATAAACTAAACATGTTTTAACTCTAATTCCTAATAAAATAATAATAACTAAAAATATTGTTTTAACCCAACCTTAATTCCTAATAAAATAATAAATCTGATCCTAAAAGATAATTAATCATCCTATATTAAATTATATTACAAATAATCAATATAAATATTGAAAATTCGTAATATTACAAAATAACGTATTAATCCCGTATAGGATTTCCTGCATGCACCGTCTTCAGTAAAATGACAATATCTTGAGTTCCCGATATCGGATTGATGCGATTCAAGAACCGTTGGAAAGATAAGAGATAGACGGTTGTATCTCCAGAAGACATGTCGACCGGATAACAACTGGATCCCCTTCAAAAGGTTGTTGCAAATATGCTGCTATTAGACCCTTCCGGATGAATGCTTGAACTGCGATTTGAAGCTTGTCTTTAAGAAGTTTGGTCCGGCCTCGTGTGATAGGGCCAAGTGGTATAGTAAATTCATCATCCTTAGCTTTAGGGCATGTGGTGCATGTATCATCTCCCCCTTCCTTAAAAGGATTCATCCTCGAATCTGAAATATCAAAAGGTGATAAGTCAGAAAACATTAAAGGATGCACTCACGTTATACTCACCGGGAAGATCAATGCGGTAGGCGTTGTCATTGATTCGTTCAAGAACTTGGAATGGGCCATCGCCTAGTGGGTCTAGCTTGGATTTCCTTTGTGTCGGGAACCTTTCTTTTCTCATGTGAACCCATACCCAATCTCCTGGTTCAAAGGTGACATGTCGTCGGCCCTTGTTAACTAGGTTTGCGATTGCCTCGTAGGTTTTCTCCATCTTGAGTTTGGCTTTGGCGTGAATGTCTTTAACAAGGGCAGCCTTCTTTTCACCATCTAAACTGACAACCTGATCTAAAGGTAAGGGAATAAGATCCAAAGTAGTTAGTGGGTTAAAACCATAAACTATTTCGAATGGAGAATAACCTGTTGTGGAGTGAATGGATCGATTATAAGCAAACTCAACAAAAGGTAAACATTCTTCCCAATTACGGGTATTCTTACCTACCACAGTTCTTAGCAAAGATCCTAGAATCCGATTTATTACTTCGGTTTATCCATCGGTTTGAGGATGACAAGAAGTGGAATAGAGAAGTTTTGTGCCAATCTTACCCCATAATACCTTCCAAAAGTGGCTTATGAACTTAGTGTCACGATCGGACACAATGGTGCGAGGAATGCCATGAAGGCGGACTATTTCTCGAAAGAATAAATTAGCAATATGTGTGGCATCGTCCGTTTTATGGCAAGGAATGAAGTGTGCCATCTTTGAGAATCTGTCCACAACCACAAAATACTATCTCGTCCTTTCTTAGTGCGGGGTAAGCCAAGTATAAAATCCATCGATAAATCGATCCAAGGAGAAGAAGAAATTGGTAAAGGCGTATACAAACCATTAGGATTTACCTTTGACTTTGCTTGTTTGCACGTGATGCATGATGCACAAATCTTTTCCACTGTTTTACGCATGTGCGGCCAAAAGAAGTGTTCCATGACCATATCAAGTGTTTTGTGAATACCGAAGTGTCCCATAAGTCCTCCGGCATGTGACTCGTGAACCAAGAATTCTCGCAAAGAGCTTTGTGGTATACACAACCTGTTCATGCGAAAAAGAAAGCCATCTACAAGATAAAACTTGTTAAAAGCACCTTTTACACATTGTTTATAAATCTCAGAAAAATCTGGATCGTTAGGATAAAGTTCTTTGATATGTGCAAAACCCAGAACAGTAGCATGCATTCGAGTGATAAGTGTGTATCGTCGGGATAATGCATCAGCTACGATGTTATCTTTCCCTTGTTTGTATTTGATGATGTAAGGAAAAGATTCAATGAACTCAACCCATCGAGCATGTCGTTTGTTTAACTTACCTTGTCCATTTAACCATTTGAGTGATTCATGGTCCGTGTGAATGACAAACTCTTTATGGAGAAGATAGTGTTGCCACACTTCGAGTGCTCGGACGAGTGCAAGAAGTTCCTTGTCGTAGGTAGAGTAGTTCAATTGTGCACCTTTTAACTTCTCACTAAAGTAAGCGATAGGTTGTCTTTCTTGCATGAGGACGGCACCAATGCCTATTCCTGAAGCATCACATTCTAGCTCAAAGGTGTTAGAAAAATTGGGAAGACGAAGAATAGGGGCAGAACATAACTTATCTTTAAGAAGTTCAAAAGCTTTTTGTTGTAGTGGTCCCCATTTGAATTCAACTGACTTTTTGATGATCTCGGTTAATGGTGCAGCAATGGTTGAGAAATCTTTGACAAAGCGAAGGTAGAAACTTGCCAAACCATGAAAAGATCTTACCTTGGTGATGGAAGTAGGCGTGGGCCATTCTTGAATTGCCTTGACCTTCTCTTTATCTACATGAATACCCTGTACACTAACTATAAAGCCTAAAAACATAAGCTTATCACTGCAAAACACACTTATCCATGTTAGCATATAAATGTTCTCGTCGAAGAACTTCGAGAACCATTCGAACGTGAATGACATGAGAATCAAAAGAAGATGAGTATATAAGAATGTCATAAAAGTAAACGACAACAAATTTACCTATAAACTCCTTAAGAACGTGATTCATTAATCTCATGAAGGTGCTTGGAGCGTTTGTGAGTCCAAAGGGCATAACAAGCCATTCATACAAGCCGAACTTTGTCTTGAATGCTGTTTATCATTCGTCACCTTCTTTCATTCGAATTTGATGGTAACCACTCTTCAAGTCAATTTTGGTGAAGATACTTGCACCATGTAGTTCATCCAACATATCATCTAGGCGTGGAATAGGATGCCTATACTTGATTGTTATCCGATTGATAGGTCGACAATCTACACATTCGGAATGTGCCATCTTTCTTTGGAACTAGAATGACGGAACTGCACAAGGACTAAGACTCTCACGGATGTGTCCTTTTTGTAATAATGAATCTATTTGTCGTTCCAATTCCTTCGTTTCCTCAGGATTGCATCGGTAAGCGGGGCGGTTTGGTATGGTTGATCCAGGGATGAATTTGATTTGATGTTCGATTCCTCTTGTAGGTGGTAAACCATCCGGTGGGTTACTTAAGGCATCTTGAAACTCCTGTAATAGAGAAGAAAAACACACTAGGCAAATCTGATGTTAGTGATAGTTGATAAAATGGAGTCCTTGAAACGGACTAGAATGCACGGTCTATTTTGAAAAAGGGTATCTCTCATGTCTTTTGCACTCGCATAAATGTTTTGAGACACTCTTTTATTTTCACATTGAGATTCACTCACCACCCGTGGGGTCATTTGTTTGGCTTTTATCGGTGACCTCTTTTGCCTTTTGTTTCAAATTCCCTGTTTCCTTGAGAATTCGTTGTTGATCTATGAGAATCTATTTGGGGGGTAGGGGGTTAAGTCGGAATGGTTTACCTTTTATTGGAATTGTGTAAATGTTCTTTCGACCATAATATGTGACGTCATTGTCGTATTGCCAAGGTCGTCCTAAGAGAATGTGGGATGCTTGCATTGGAATTACATCACACCATACGTCGTCACAATACTTTCCCATCTTGATATTAATGAGACATTGTTTAACCACCTTCATCTCGGCACTCTCATTAAGCCATTGTAAGCAATAAGGTTTCAGATGTCGTTGGCAAGGAAGTTTGAGTGATTCAACAACATTGG